AACGAAAAATAAAGGGCACTTTTTCGAAAAACATTAATATTCACATTATACTTGATAATCACACATTTCATCAGTTAATTGGATTTCATATGGAGAGTCCGATGAAGATTTTTGTAGTGAAGGGACTAAAATGGCTTGAAAACTCTGCTTGAATCAACCTACAATATTTTGAAAACGACGAAAATTTCTGGTTTTATCAGCGGACGCGCAGGGCGTCGATACGACGGAACTGAAAAGCGCTGTGCGTGCAATTTTGTACCCAGCAACTGCGGCGCTCTACGTAGTGAAAATTCATAACTAATAATTGTAAACGAGTTCCGATTCATACACTTTGGAACACTAATGAGGTAATAGTGTTCCGTTGTTTCACTAATGCCATCCCATTAATGAATACGTTAATAACGCAAAACAAATGATACGTTTGATAATATGCCCTTTTTCATGAAAATACGACTGTAGTAACACGAAATTGGACAGATTGACTCGGAATTCCGATAACGCCCTTGGACAAAGGACAGCTTAATAGGTTAGAATCACTTTGTCATAAATTTACAAAGTCTGGTACCCTACCATACTCAGACTACACTCTGGCAAATGAATGTTAAATGGATCTGATGATCATTTTTTTTTCTAGTTTTAAGTCAGAGATGAGGAGAGATTTCACATAGAAGGAGTCAAATTTCACGAGAGTACCATGGGAAGGGTTAAAAGTAGGAAAGAAGAGTTTGTGAATCCAAGAGGAGCTAAAGAGGTTGAAAATGTAGGAAATGTAAATAAAGTGGGTACTACCTGTGGAGGTTGTATGTTTAGCCAATGATGAGATAGAGGTAGTACACGTAAGGAGGTGTTTACAAGAAAAAAGTTTAAAGGATGCATTGGCGACCGCTGTCACGATGTCACGTCACCATGCAAGGCCTGTAGGTTTTTCTAGTCATTCTCCTTCTTTCCCGGCGTACTCCTCGAAAGTTATCCTGGCCATTTATCGACTAAATGATACAGACATAGTTCACATTAGTGAGTTCCATATCCCAGAAGGCCTTCTTTCAAACAGCTCTTGATAAAACTGTATACTCAGTTTCGACGAATTCGAAGTCATTAGGGGTCACTCAGGAAATGTTAGCTCAGAAAAAAGAATTCGTTGAGTTTTACTACTGCTTAATAGGCATGACAGCATCAGCTTTCTCCTTTGAAGGTTTTTGCCTTCCAAGCAAACAATAAAAGGGTCTTCTGTAGAGGCGTACCTCATTGGCCGCGTATAGCTCGTTGGTGAATGCGAAATGCTGTGCGGCAGTCGCAGTTGGAGTGCTCAGCGATGGATTCTTGAAATTTTTCTTAATCTTTGGAGTCTTCAAAATGAAACAGGGTGATACTAAGAAACAGGCTTCACAATCACATCACCTCTATTAGCGCACATTCACTAGCGCATAACACAAAACTCAAATCGACGGCCAATATCAGCACATGCCTCATTACGGTTTCTGCGTCTAAATCTATATCTATCTACAGAGACATCACGACACGTCTCGAGCATTTTATTGTAGGGTCGAAACACTTTCTCATCCAAGAAGATGAGAAAGCCTATGTTCTGTGTTCGACCCCACTCGCTACAGCACACTATTACTACGATTTCTCACGAGCAGCACCTCTGACGATGTGCCATTCGCGGTTGTGGAATGAGAAGCAGTCGGTACGAGTGAATCATCCTGTGTACTCAGCGTAGTCTCGACCGATGACATGGCACCACCCTGAACCCCTTATTTGGAAACATATGAAAACAAAATTGAAGATTACGCCATTCTAAATATTATATTTACATGATATCAGCTCCTAATACCTACAAAGTTAGACTGACTAACAATTCACGTATAAAATTCAATCGGAAAGTCATTCGAAATAGAACCGCAACCGATAATTAGTGCTAGAACCGAAAGCAGAATGTAATTCCCTCGCTGACCTCGTTCTGACTTGAAATGGTAGATCCAGCATCGTCATCTTGAACGCTTGTTGAATTTGGCTGAGTACACGTGGAAGTGACTAGTTGAACTAATTGGACACCACTAGTGCTATTTGCTCCGGGTCTTCTGAAAAAGTCATTCATACGATGATAGTGAAAAGCATAGAACTATGGAGCATACGTGGCGATGACTGTCGTCTTTGCGTTGACCACATTGGCGTTGGCAATTGGTGAAGTTGTTGAAATACTAGCGTTTGTGGCCGAAGATGAAGCAGCTATGCGTCCTGCGGCTACACTATTATACGGAATGCCAGGAGGTGGTGGAGGCGGAGTAGCTTGGTTGATTCCAGTTAATGAACCTAACTGCCCACTTTCCACTGATCCATCTCTGAAATTTCAAAAGATAAAAAGGCGTTAATAATGCGCTGCCTTGCAGCGTAAGACTAACTTTGCTAACTTTGCGGGAGTAACTGGAACAGAAGCGGCGGCTACTGTCCTACGTGGGGCAGGACTTGCTGGTGTATCTTGACTACCATGCCGTGAACCTCCACTCCGGGGAAGACCATCATCACCGATTGAACTATCATGTGTTGATCCATTGTCATGGCCTTCAAACAGCGGGTTAAAACATGCTCTCTAGTGAAACGTCAATCAAAACGCACCATTCTCCTTCTCTTCATCGAGCGGGCCGATCTGAATGCCTCCAATTTGGGCGCTCAGCGCACCCAAATCTAACTCTTCATAGGCATCTGAAAGGAAATACGAATAATTAGGAATAATGGAACGATCAAGAGTACTCATAAACAGGCAGACCTTCTGGATCAAGATTGTCTAATTCGTCTGCATCCCCTTCGTAATCCGGGTCGAGCGCCTCGATATACATTTCCAACGGATCTTTCAGTACTTCCATCACGCGCTTAGACTCCAGAGACTCATTGTTCACCATCCGCATACAAACCTATAAAATCTGTACATTTTAAGAACATCAGCTTCCATAAAACGTAAAAACAATTTCACATTGTAGTTTTGAAAAGGCTTACCTCTCTCAGCTCCGTCGATGACATTCACATATATGGTAAATTGAGTAGTGCAAATTCAAAATCAAATTACAGCATTATGTAAATAATTAGTTAAAAATAAAAGCCTTTTAGCGCAGCTGATATTTCCATGGTAAGTTATTTTGCAATATAAGAAATTATGAGCCTACCTCAAGCTTCCCAATATGGAACTTCATTCGATCAAGATGTCGTTTCAACTCCTCCATGCGCTTCTTAAAAATGGGAGATAGAGGATAACAGTAATCAACCCACACGTACACACAGACACACACATCAGACGTTTATGACAGCCCAAGTTTCGCATACTGTCTTGAGCGAGAAAGAACCCGATTTCTTTTGAAAGGACCCATAATCAGTGAAGATAGTACTTTGAAGCAACAGGTCAGACTAGCTTTAACTTCGTTTCCCTTTCTTTCGTTTCAGGGTATTCCGTTAACTGGCGCCACTCCGGATCGTCTTTTTCCAGGTTTTCCTTNCTATGTTGTGTTCGCTTTACTTTCCATTTCTCTCTGGCCATGGCCGCCCATTCCGCTAAATAAATGGCCAGACAAAATGCTACCTAATACCTAAAAATCGCGTTCCTTTATCTGAGTAAGCAGACACTGTGGAATACTAGAAGAGGGTCAGCTGATCGATAGGCCAACTTCATAGTATAATCACTTTAGATATCTTACTACCGCTCATTATTACTCTGAAGAATGATTAATCTTCAAAAGTGGTTGGTACATCAGAGAACACAAATAAGCTATATATGACGAATGCATAAGGTTGTGAGGTTATTGACATGTTAAGAAAAACTACAAACCGCGGTCACTTTAAGCAAAACGCCACGCCTCTAAGATTTCGAGATAAAAACTTCTTTGTCTGAACTTTAGAGCTATGAGAGGATGACAGGTCTTAGAACGCAGCTCCACCCAAGAATCATCAACAGTCTTTCTGGACCATTTTATTCATTAGTATAAGCTGCTCTTTGAACCTGTCTAGTAATTGAAATTATACAAACAGCCTTTTCAACCCTCCTATAATGAATTTGTGCATTTTTGTGAATCACGAATTGCGTGCCTTTAAAATCAATAAATTTTACGGGACTTCCGGTCCCCAGAGGAATCCTCGAAGTGCCACTAAACATGTTTTCAAAGTCGGCACAACAAAGTTTAGACCAAAATCAAGCATAACTTAGCATCAACTTGGACGCCTTTAATAACGAAAATAGCAGTTTCCTCTGCAAAAAAAATTTAAGGAGTTAAGCAGTCGAGTAAGAATTGCGGTACAGATTTCTGAACAATAATGGAACCCAGATCAAACGTTTTGCAAAGATTCTACTTTCACGACGCAGAAATGAATATATGCAATTGAGCATCAAAGTAGTTGCATGGTTACATTGAAATTAATTCAGTGACGCGATCAAAAAGACAATATTGCAGCCGTCGATAATAATCGTGAAAATTGAAGAATGAAGAACCACAGTAACGAGTTCAGTGATGACCTTGTAGCAGTCAGTGAAGCAACAAGTTTGCGTGCGTATGCGACGGACGAAGGAAAATATTGAGATTTAAATCGAAAATGACAGGAATCAGGCAGAAATGTCCTTCAAATTTCTCACAAAAACTCTAGTAATCTTCGAAAGCTGGAATACAGTACAATACGTCCCCATTAGTCGAGAACAAAAACTGCTCTTGTTAACGCCATATCAATCATGAAGTGCTCACCTAGCGTACCTTTATATTCTAACACATCAATTTCGAATCACCGCCTCGGTAGCAACGATTTCTCACCTCTTTCTCTCCCTTCTTTCCGTCCTCCTTTTTCCCTCGCCGTTTTCCAGCGTCCAAAGTGGACAGGGATTCAATCTGCGATTCCGTACGATCTGCCTCGTCACTAAGTTCTCGAATTTGACTCTTAAAACAAGAATATTTCAATAAAAACAGCTGAACTGAAAACATAATTTGACGGTAACCCTCCACGTTAGTGAGACACTTAAGTAGGATGCGGTAAGGCACGAACCTGCAACCATTCGATTGTATCGACCTTTTCCTTTTCTCTTGGATCCAACTTCTCCTCTGCGCTCAAGCCCTAAATAAAAGGAATCCAAAAATCTAAAAATCCAAACAGTAGCAGAATAAAACGGAAAATATTTCGTAACGTACTATTACAACTGAAAATAGTACCTGCTTGCTATGGGGTTTTGTTTTGTTCTCTCGTTCAATGTCCTTAAACTGTTCCATTCGTTGTTCGATGACCTTACGGTAATGGGTCAATTTGTCTTTGTCCTGAAACAACGAGTTACCATACTGCATGACACACGTTAAAAAGTAAAACGTTGAATAGATGAAACCTTGATCTCCGAGCAGTTTTGCCACCCTTTAACTTGGTCCCTTAACCGTTGCAATTTTTTAATCTCCTTTTTCAAGTCATCCTGTAACGCTCAAATGAGTGCTAGCCTTCGAAGTATCAGAGAAATTAAGAAGAAACTAAGAAAACCTGATATTTCTCCCGTTGATTATCACTGTTTGCTTCATGCATCTTAACCATTGTCTCCTCAAACAGCTCTACACCTTCGTCAATCTGAATGATAGATCCAAATGTAGGGAAGTGAAAAGGAGCAAAAACATATTACGCGTATTATTAGCATATTACAATCTACGCGAGTGATTGAATTGAATAATCCACCTAGAAATTGGGTCGCACGACATTTTCAAAAGGTTAGAGTTTACCTTTTTGAAGCATTTATCAATCTCGGCAAGGAGCTTTCGCTTCTCCGCCATGATGACTTGTTCTTCAACCGTGGACTGGCCCACCAAGGAATATAATGCATGCAGCGCAGCAAATTTGCAGCCTCTCCTAAAAGGCTATATTTTCTAGATTTCATGCAAATCGCTCTGAAATGAATTGCAAAAACAGATTGGTGGGCTTCGTCTGGCTTCTCACAATCATCCACATTTACTGGAAAACCCTCATGACGATTTCCCTACTTCTCTACACTCATTTTTCTCTCCTTGACGGTTTCAGAAAAAAAAGAGGCCTACAATCTTTATACAGCTTCTAGTTTCAATTTCGACTATTGCAATATCTTCGATCCAATGGAAAGTGACGATCTGTTTCTATTTTCAATGTGAAAACAAAGTAGTGATATATATATAT